GTTGAGGGTATCTAACTCTTCCTGATTCAAGCAAAGAGGGTTGTATTTTTTCTAGGAATTTACTTCTCTAGGTTTTTTAGTTTATGTGTGTAAAGATGTTCATGGTAGCATTGAATGATGTTTTGTATTTCTGTGGTGTCAGTTGTAATATCTCTCATTTCATTTCTAATTGAGCTTATTTGGATTTTCTCTCTTCTATTCTTGGTTAATCTTGCTAATAGTCTATCAATTTTATTTCTCTTTTCCAAGAATCAGCTTTTTGTTTCATTTATCTTTTGCATTTTTTTGGTTTCAGTTTAATTAATTCTGTTCTGATCTTGGTTATTTCCTTTCTTCTGCTGGGTTTGGTTTGGATTGTTCTTGTTTCTCTAGTTCCTTGAGGTGTGACCTTAGATTGTCTATTCTTTCCGAATTTTTGATGTAAGCATTTAGGGTTATGAACCGTCCTCTTAGCACCATGCTTGCTGTATCCCTGAGGTTTTGATAGGTTGTGTCAATATTGTCATTTAGTTCAAATAATTTTTTAATTTCAATCTTGATTTCATTGTTGACTCAATGATCATTCAGAAGCATGTTATTTAATTTTCATGTATTTGCATGATTTTGAAGATTCCTTTTGAAGTTGATTTCCAGTTTTATTACACTGTGGTCTGAGATAGTACTTGATATAATTTCAATTTTCTTAAATTTATTGAGACTTGTTTTGTGGCCTATCATATGGCTTTCTTGGAGAACATTTCATGCGCTGATAAATAGAATGTATATTCTGTAGTTGTTGGGTAAATGTTCTGTAAATATTTTTTAAGTCCATTTTTCCCAGGGTACAGTTTAAACACACTGTCTCTTTGTTGACTTTCTGTCACACACACGTATATAAGTTCTCCCTTCTGCTTGTTCGATTCTATTGCTGAGACTTTCCAGAGCATTTTGCATTTCTCTAAGTGCATTCATTATTTCCTGAAGTTTTGATTGTTTTTATATTTATACTAGCTATTTCACTGAAGATTTCTCCCACCATTTCTTGTAGCACTTTTTAATTTCCTTAAATTGGACTTCACCTTTCTCTGGTGCCTCACTGATTAGCTTAATAACTTACCTTCTGAATTCTTTTTCAGGTAAGTCAGGGATTTCTTCTTGGTTTGGAATCAATTGCTGGTGAGCTACCGTGATTTTTGTTGGGGGTGTTAAAGGACCTTGTTTTGTCATATTACCAGAATTGTTTTTCTGGCTCTTTCTCATTTGGGTAGGCTATGTCAGTGGGAATATCTGGGGCTCAAGGCTGCTGTTCAGATTCTTTTGTCCCATGGGGTCTTCCCTTGATGTAGTACTCTCCCCCTTTTCTTAGCGATGTGGCTGCCTGAGAGCCGAGATGTGGTGATTGTCTATCTTCTGGACCTAGCCACACAGCATGTCTACCAGGCTCCAGACTGTTACTGGGGATTGTCTGCAGAGTCCTGTGATGTGAACTGTCTGCAGGTCTCTCAGTTGTGGATACCAGCACCTGCTCCAGTGGAGGTGGCAGGGGTTAGAAATGGACTCTGTGGTGGTCCTTAGTTCTGGTTGTTTTATGCACTATTTTTGTGCTGGTTGGCCTTCTGCCAGGAAGTGGTGCTTTTAAGAAAGCATCAGCTGTGGAAGTATAGGGAGGATCAGGTGGCGGGCGAGGACCTAGAACGCTCAAGAGAATATGACCTTTGTCTTCAGCTACCAGGGTGGGTAGGGAAGGACTATCAGTTGGGGGCAGGATTAGGTGTGTCTGAGCTCAGAACCTCCTTGGGTGGGTCTTGCTGTGGCTGTGTGGGGAGATGGAGGTGTGGTTCCCAGGTCAATGGAGTTATCTTCTCAGGAGGATTATGGCTGCCTCCACTGTGTCATGCAGGTTGACAGGGTAGTGGGGAAAGCTGGCAGTCACAGGCCTCCCCCAGTTTCCAAACAACCCCAAAGGCCCATCTAACTCCCACTGTGCCCCCGCCAATGGCACCGAGTCTGTTTCCAGGGAGTGGGTGAGCAGGGCTGAGAACTTACCCCATGCTACCAGCCTCCCAGCTGTGAAAGCAAGGATGGCTTTTGTGCCATTCTGCCTGTGGAGTCTGCACACCAGATTTACACCCTCCCTTGAGTTCCGGCCAGGAGACTTCACGATCCCTTGGAATTTTTACAAAGTTCAGCTGGAGGTTTCCTTCTCCCTGTGTTCCTTTTCCAGTACCTCTGATACTCCTCCCCAAGGACTCATGTGAGACAAAGCACAAATGGCTTCCTAGGGAATCCAGCAAGCTCACAGGGTTTTTCCTGCTGCTTCCTCTACCCCTGTATTTCACTCCGCTCTCTAAATTGACTCAGCTTCAGGTAAAGTCAGAATCTTCTCCCATGATCTAAACCTTCAGGTTCCCCAGTGAGGGTATGTGTTCGGGGGTGGACAATCCCGTTTCCACTTCCACAGCTTGGGCACTCGCAGTATTCAGGGTGTCTCCTGGGTCCTGCAGTAGCAATCCATTTCCTTCAGGGGGTCTGTGGGTCCTCTCAGCTTTCCTAGTTTATTCCTGCAGTAGTTCTGGAGCAAAAGTTCACAATGCAGAGTGTCACACTGCTCTGTCTATCCACCTGGGAGCTGCAATCTCGTCCTCTAGTCTGTTTTTAATGGAAACAAAATAAAAAGATACATCTACATTCATTCATCAAATATTAATTAAACACTTAATATGTGCCAGGCACTTAAGATTCAGCAGTGTACAAAACAGACAAAATGCCTGTCTTCATGGAACTTATCGTCTATTTCAGGGAAATAAACAATAAACATACAAGAAAAAATCTATAATGTTAATAAAAATTATTGCCTTCGTGAAAAATAAATATTATAGTTAACGAGACTGTTGGAAACTCAATGTCTTCTGAGGAGATATGTATTTTAGCAGTTTTTTGATCATTTTAAGAAACTTTTCTTGTTTTTAAAAGCATATTTAAAAAAATATTTTTTTGAGAGGGCCTCACTCTGTGGTCCAGGCTGGAGCACAGTGGAGCAATCACAGGTCACTGCAGCCTTGACTCCCCTGGGCTCAGGTAATTCTCCCACCTCAGCCTTACAAGTAGTTGGGACTACAGGTGCACATCATCATGCCCAGATAATTTTTCTCTTTCTTGTAGAGATGAGGTCTCACTGTCACCCAGACTAGTCTTGAACTTCTGGGCTCAAACAATCCTCCTGTCTTGGCATCCCAAAGTGTTGGAATTACAAGCATGAACCACTGTGCCCAGCCAAACAATGTATTTTAAATCATAGTTTGAAAATCTGATTTTATACGAAGATGCTACTTTTAATAATGAACTTATATGTAGCAATTTTAGCTTTAATGAGGCCCTTAATTTTTGTTCAAAATCACTTTATTTTATTTGATTGCATTTTAGGTTTTGGGATACATGTGAAGAACATGCAAGATTGTTGCATAGGTACACACATGGCAGTGTGATTTGCTGCCTTACCCTCCATCACCTATATCTGGCATTTCTCCCCATGCTATCTCTCCCCAACTCCCCAACCCCCACTGTCCCTCCCCTATTTCCCCACTACAGGCCCCAGTGTGTGATGCGTCCCTCCCTGTGTCCATGTGTTCTCATTGTTCAACAACAACCTATGAGTGAGAACATGCGGTGTTTGATTTTCTGTTCTTGTGTCAGTTTGCTGAGAATGATGGTTTCCAGGTTCATCCATGTCCCTACAAAGGACAGGAACTCATCGTTTTTGATGGCTGCATAATATTCCATGGTGTATATGTGCCACATTTTCCCTGTCCAGCCTATCATCGATGGGCATTTGGGTTGGTTCCAGGTCTTTGCTATTGTAAACAGTGCTGCAATGAACATTCGTGTGCATGTGTCCTTATAGTAGAACGATTTATAATTCTTTGGATATATATCCAGTAATGGGCTTGCTGGGTCAAATGGTATTTCTATGTCTAGGTCCTTGAGGAATCACCACACTGTCTTCCACAATGGTTGAACTAATTTACATTCCCACCAACAGTGTAAAAGTGTTCCTATTTCCCCACATCCTCTCCAGCATCTGTTGTCTTCAGATTTTTTAATGATCGCCATTCTAACTGGTGTGAGGTGGTATCTCAATGTAGTTTTGATTTGCATTTCTCTGATGACCAGTGATGATGAGCATTTTTTCATATGTTTGTTGGCCTCATGCATGTCTTCTTTTGTAAAGTGTCTGTTCATGTCCTTTGTCCACTTTTGAATGGGCTTGTTCATTTTTTTCTTGTAAATCTGTTTTAGTTCTTTTTAGATTCTGGATATCAGCCCTTTGTCAGATGGGTAGATCGCAAAAATTTTTTCCCATTCTGTTGGTTGCCGATTCACTCTAATGACTGTTTCTTTTGCTGTGCAGAAGCTGTGGAGTTTGATTAGGTCCCATTTGTCTATTTTGGCTTTTGTTGTCAATGCTTTTGGTGTTTTGGTCATGAAGTCCTTGCCTACGCCTATGTCCTGAATGGTTTTGCCTAGATTTTCTTCTAGGGTTTTGATGGTGTTAGGTCTTATGTTTAAGTCTTTAATCCATCTGGAGTTAATTTTAGTGTAAGGTGTCAGGAAGGGATCAATATACTGTTCAAAATATTTTTATACAGTTTTTCCTCAGTGTCCATGTGGGAATGTGCAAGTCCCTGATATATAAAATGGTGTAGCATTTGCATATAACCTATACACATCCTCTTTAAATCATCTCTTAATTACTTTTCATACCTGGTACAATATAAGTACCATGTAAATGGTGGTCAAAATGTATTGTTTAGTGAATAATGACTAGAAAAAATCTTTACATGTGCAATAGAGACACAACCATCTATTTTGTTCAGAATACTTTCTAACCCTTGGTTGACTGAATCCATGGGTGTGAAGCCCATGGATATGGAACCCATGGATATGGAAGGCTGACTGTAATATAAAGAGTATGAATTTGCTAAAACTATCAGAAAATAAGTTTTTTATAATAAATTTTTTAGGCACCTCACAGTTTACTTGAAGCACTAAAACAGCATTTAGCTTCTTTGGAAGAGAAAAATGATACTTCACCTTCTTACCGGTAAGTTAATAAATGTCTTAATGTACGTTAATTTTGTTTCCCTCCAAATAATTTCCTGCATCCTAAATTTAATTATATGAGGTCAACTAAATAAGTTATGGGCTATGAATATGATGGAATACTATTAAGCTATTTTAAATGATGATATGGGACAGAGGTTTTCAGTCTTTTGTGGGTTTCCATACTCTTTGTAGATGATATGCTTCCCAAAGGAACATATTTTATTAAACTGAATGATTTGCAAAGTCAGAGAATGGAAATATTTGAGAATTTAATTCCTTCCCCTAGGGGCTCCTCTAGTGAGAATAACTATTATTGGTGAAGATTATTTAATGGCATGTCAAAGTGTTTATTCATGAGACAGAACACATAGTAACATTCAAGACATGTGTAGATGCATGCATCTATCTACACATACACATACATGTACTCTGCTATATATCCATATTCATATAAACTGAATAATACAAAATTTGAGGTATGTCACCCCAAAATGTTCACATTAGCTATTTCTTTTCTTTTTTTATTTTTGAGACAGAGTCTCGCTCTGTTGCCCACGCTGGAGAGCAGTGGCATCATCTCGACTCACTGCAACCTCCACCTCCTGGGTTCAAGTGATTCTCCTGCCTCAGCCTCCCCAGTAGCTGAAATTACAGGCAGTTGCCACCATGCCCAGCTAATTTTTGTATTTTCAGTAGAGATGGGATTTTACCATGTTGGCCAGGCTCATCTCTAACTCCTGACCTCAGGTGATCTGTCCACCTCAGCCTCCCAAAGTGCTGGAATTACAGGCATGAGCCACTGTGGCTGGCCTCAGCTATTTCTAAGTGTAACAATTGTGGTTGATTTCAGTTTTCTTTTTTATATTTTTCTATATTGTCCACAATCACTACAAAGGTCATATAATATTAACTCATTAGACTTTTTAAGGTTGTGTTGATTGTAATCTATTTATATTATCACCTTCTCTTAGACAAGTCCATTGACTATTTCTTAATTATCTCTATAACAGATAGATCTATAGTTAGTATATAATTGGCGAGATGGATTGATAGATGGATAAATCAAAGAAATGTAAGTTCAATTAGGTAGAATATATATAATTCTATTTATTCTACAGTATGCCTCATAATTACTGTGATCTTTTAAGTCTCCAGTGTGCATTGACTCCATCCTTCCCAAATAGTCCAGCTGTGACAGCTTCAGCAACCACAGCTTGGTTTGCAAGTAATATGGCATTATTACATGATTATGTCAATAATAACTGAAGATAGGACTAGAATCTTTATTTTTTTCACTGCTAAACTACCAACTGTGTCTGCTGCCTCTTCCTGAAGCAGTATGTGACCCAGTACTTTCATTCATAGGAATTTATTCAACATATGTATTCACAATTGTGAAATGATACAGGAATAAGAATATTCATTGCAATATTATAATGGCAATGGCAAAATTAATAAGAGGCTTGTTTTTATATACTGAAATGGAGATCCCCAAGTTATGTTGTTAAATGACAAATGAGCAAGAAGTGAAACAAGTATAGTATGCTATTATTTTTGTTTTTTAAGAGTAAAAAGAAAGAATACATATGTAATGTCTTAAATAATACTTCTGGAAGGATATATAAGAAATGCGTTAAAATGGGCTGCTTCCAAAAAGAATGTAGTGGTTCATGGAAAGAGATGGTGGGTGAGTCTCCACCGTGTACCATTTTCTAACTTTTGAAATTATACCATGAAAATAATTACCTATTAATATATAAAGTTCACAAAGAAACAAAATGGCTTACTTACCATTTCCCAAACCTTTCTCCTTTGCTTTTAGTGTGGGATTCGTAAATGGCACTGCCATCCATGCAGGTGCTCAGTTGATACCTGGGAATTATTTTTGACACTTCCTTTCCCCTCACTTCCATATCCAACCCATTACCAAATCCTATTCATTCTACTGCTCAATGATCTCTCAGTTCTCTCCACTTCTATCCATCCAAACTGCCTCAACCTTAGATAAAACCACTGTCATTTATATCCCGGATTACTGTAATAGCTACATCCTTATGCCCTCCCATAATCCATTCTGAATATGACAATCAGAGTGATATTTTAGAAACTTAAATATAATCATGCTATTCCCTTCATCAAAACCTTTAAGAGAATTTCAGTTATCCAAGGATAAAGCCTACAAGCTTCATTTTGTGTTGTTCTTGCTCAACTTTCTGGGATACTGGAGTTGTTTCACTTATTTACAAATCCCCCAGTGTCTTTCTAATTCTCAGGCTAGAATCCTTTTCTCTCCTTCCCCTGGCCCTAATCCTATGGCCTATATTATTTTATCCTTTAACTTTCAGATTAATTAATAGAGAAGACTCATTCTTGACTCCCTAGATGAAGTTAAATTTCCTTGATACATTCATATAGTATTCTGTACTTCCTCTTTTGTAATATTTAACAAATTGTAATTTTACTCAGGGCGTTTACTCATGCTTGTCCTGCAGGATCACCATGGTTCACTTTCTCACATCTTTTAGGTCATATTAAAAGTTCCCTTCTCAATGAGCCATTCCTATTTTAAATTTAAATTGCTGCATGCACCAAGCTAAATACATAAACCAAAAATTATTAGAAATAAATAGAGAAGTTGAGAAAAATGCGATTATAATGGGCAATTTCAAATCATCTCTTTCATTATTCGACATATCTTCCCCACTGACATATTATGTCTCTTTCCCTGATGTTTTTTCCTTAGCACTTACTAGTATCTGACATAGCATATACTTCATCCTGGTTGTTTTCTGTCTCCATTAGAATGTAAATCACATGAAGGCAGGAATGTTTATCTTTTTTCCTTAGTGCTGTATCTTTAGCACCTAGTACAGTGCCTGGCACATAACAAGGACTCAATTAAAATTTATTCAATAAATAACTTAAAATCACTCCTCTTTTACTTAATAATTTGAGGTCCTGTTAGTTTGTAATGGGACGGTACATATATGTCATTATTGTATTGATATAAACTTGGTTTATGTTTTCATCTCATTTTGTCTCTTATTTTTAGATTATTTTTCCTACATGATACATTACAACCATCATTAACATCAAAAGCCAATGAGCCTATTGGAGCCAGACGGCAACCTGCTAGACTTGTAGGAAGTAAACATCTATTTTTCAATTAATATTTTAAAATGTATTTAAGAAAAAGTATTTATACAAAATAATGTAAAACCTACGTTTGTTTTGTGAAACTGATAGTAACTTTGAAGAAATCCCAGTCAATAGATAAGTTTTTATTATTTAACAAAAGACAGAGAAGGAGGGCTGGGCAGGAAAGAAAAAAAAAAGACAACCAATAAATACATGCTAGCGGAAGAGGCTTGTAAGAACCAGAAAATAATTTTCAAATTAGATATTATACTTGCCTGTTATAAAACTTTATAACGTGAACTTTTTAAACTTAAATAATTAAAGTGGAAAATTTATTTATTATGTACTATCCTAACTTTTGTAGGTAAAGTTCTTGCTTAAAGTACACTGTATTACATGTTTCTCCACCTACCTGTCTGGTGATCCCTTTTTGGCTCATCTGAAGGATCTTCTTTTCTAGGCATGTCTTAAATATTGGCATTCCTCATAGTTCTTTGTATTCTTGGTTCTTTTCTTTATGATAATAGACTCTATTAAATGAGTAATGCTTATTTTTATTTTATCAAGCAATAATAATGAATCAACTAGTTGGAGCTCCTGAGTATCATAGGTTAACCAATGTCAACTTCAGTGAGTTAACTCCTAAAATTTCAGCCAAAAAAAATAACAGGCAAATGGAAACCAAAGGGAGGCATAAGTGATAATATTAACAACAAATAATATAGAATGTAAAGTTAAAAGCCAGGTAAAGAGAATAAGGATAAGGGTTTTTAAGCCTTATTTGACATAAAGGGCATGATCTGATGTTAATCAGCTGGGAGAAACAGCAAGGCCTGTTTCTTCAGATTCTTCTCTGTGACCCCTCTGTGACCATTTGCCTTCAGACATAGGATGTTTCTTACCTGGATTTTTAGGCCTACTTAAAAATCCCTCCTTTAAGGATAGAAGGGATATTATATAATGATAAAAGGAACTATTTATGAAGATGTAACAATATTAATGCTGTAGGTACTAAGCTAAATATAGAAAGCAAAAATTATTAGAAATACATGGAGAACTTGAGAAAAATATAATCATAATGGCAATTTCAAATCACTTCTTTCATTATTAGGCAGGTCTAGTAGATAAAACATAAGTAAAGACAGAGGAATTTGAATAAAACATAATGAATAAATAATAATAAACCAGAACACGTGCACATGCATGCATGTGCACACACACACACACACACACACAGAATGTTCATTTTCTTTAAAGCAACAATATACTTGGACACAAAGAAAACCTTAACAAAATTTTGAAGAATTTTACGGTTTACATTTTCTCATAATTCAATAAAATTAGAACTAATTAATGAAAGTTTGACCATGAAATTTTTTTTGGTAAAATTTATAAATGACATATATATATATTTTTTATTGTACTTTAGGTTCTAGGGTACATGTGCAGATCAATCAGGATTGTTGCATGGGTACATACATGGCAAGGTGGTTTGATGCCTTCATGCCCCCATCACCTATATCTGGTTTTTAAACATTTAGAAATTTAAAAATGTAATTCTTTTGCCCAAGAGGAAATCAAAAGGAAAATTATTCACTATCTAAAGGTAATGAAAAAGAAAACTTCATACCAGTGCTAATAAGGCACTGTGAGAGCTAAAACTCAGATAAAAATTTGTGGCTTTAAATATCATTGTTAAAAAAGATAAATTTGAAGAAAGAATTTCATTTTTATCATAAGAAAATAGAAAACAAAATAATTAGGAAGATAAAACTTTTAAAGATAAAAGCTTAAATTAATGACACTACCAACAAAAACAAATACAAAAGTTCCTCGTAAAGTCTAGTAAAATAAGCTCCTCTGATTAAATAGAATAGAGAATGCAAAAGTTTATATTGGGAATAAAAAAGCTGACAGATGCAGGAGA